AATACACATACAAACACACACACCGACACACATATACGCTTACTTTTAACTTACCTTAGTTGCTGAAATATGAAACCGATGATTTTTTTTTATCCTTGCTGAAATGCGTGATAGCTGGTATGTGGTAAATTATTTATCCTCCAAACTGTATTTAACTATAATATCCAGTTAGATGAGTAACATGTATTAGCCTTGATTAGAATAAAAGAAATAGATTTGAAGACTTAACAGTTTCATTGATCTGAATGGAACGCAGCCGACCATTTCTTAGATTGTGCCCTTCTGTAAAGTAGCATTAGCGGACTGACATACGGGTCAATCGGTACTGATTAAACAGAGCATAACGCGATATTATAAAATCAGAGCATAAAAGGTTATACAAGCACACTTGACGCGACAAATTTTCAAATTATCCATGTGGTCCTAAGTTTTACGTTAAAAATATACTTCGGCACTCCGACCCATCTTTAAGCCCACCCTGTGTTCGAGATCAATTATTAAAGATTTCAGCTTCAATGATATACATGCAACTTCAGAAGACTAGATTAGTTACCATGGAGTATAGAGCACTAGTGAGTACTGTTCCACATGTTTCTCAAATTGATGGAGAAGGGTGGGGTGTTCTGGTTCGTTTTAAATATTATTCTTTGAAATGGTTTCTGATGCGTTTGAGGATAGTTCATGGGTTAGTTTTCTCGTCTCTTTTTCATATTCATTAACTGTTAAAAATTTCATCAGCATATGTATCACTATTCTATCACTGAAATGTACTCCGACGACACTATTCTTCATATCTCGGATTCCAATATTAATATCAATGCTAAATTGTCACAAGAACTTAACGCAATAACTCACTGACTCCATTCAAACAAATTAATAACGAACACTGGTAAATCTGTGACTATGCTCATAGGTACTTCTCAACGTACCCGCGATAAACACATCAGTGTTTCTATTGATAACACCTTCCTACAGGTCAATATCCACAAACACCTCGGGATCACTGTTGACAACAACCTAACATGGAAATCACATTCACGTAATTTATCCACTTCCATAACTTACAAAACTTTGGCACTTTCTCGAGCACGTAAATTTATTGATAAAAACACTGCACTTTTAATTTATAATACTTTAATTTTACCTCATATTGATTATTGCATTTCTGTTTGGGGTCCACGCACCAAAGATATTATTGCTAAAATACAGAAACTTCAAAATCGTGCAATCCGAGTCATACATAATGTACCACCTCGAACACCATCCGCTTCATTATTTGAACCAATAAATGTTATGAATGTTACCCAACGGTAACTTTACCAACTAGCATGTCTCACCTTTATACCTAAATCTTTGAGGGGACTGGCTCCAGACTATCTGGTACTACGACTGTACATCAGACAGCAAAGGCACATGCGCACCAGATCCGTTGCCCCTAGTAATTTCAATATTCCTCATACCAAACTCCATTCTTTCAAGTCACCTTTCAGTTACCAAGCTCCATCATTCTCGAATACCCTCCCACTCACCATCACCACCATACCTTCATACAACACATTTAAAAAGCACATCAAGCAACACATTATAAACAAGGATTTATGTTCCCCCTTTTCTTGGTTGTTTTCCTGTGTGGATTCGGGTGTTTATGTGTGTGTGGGGGCCCCTGAACATTAGATTTATTCTGTAAGGGTCGCCCACTCAAAATGTGGTTTTAAATAAGTAAATAAATAAACAATCCTATTTACTATATTAGATATATAATATATCGTTAATAAATTGAGAGATTCCAGAGATTGGAAGATAGCGATAACTACCCTAGTGTATGGAAATAGAAGAAGTAGAATAAAAGCATTGAATACTAAAATAACCAAATTAGACATTAATGTTTCAGAAGAGCCAAGTGAAATTAATATGTCAGATTTAGATAAGGGTAAACAGGAGCTAGACGAGATAGACCGAAACATTATAGACGGTATTATTGTTAGATCAAGAATTAGGTGAGCAGAAGAGGTAGCGACAAAAGGAAGGGTATTTATATATTACCATTTAATTGCTCACAAGAGACAACAAATAGGATTTTTCAGTATAAAATAAATATTATGAATTATATGAAACTGAAAGCGTCTAAGGAATGCAATTAAAGTTTATGTTCACACTACATTTTCCAAATACAGTGGTGAGTCCAGGAATTACAAAGAGATGGGGGCCAAGGAAGTACTTTTACAGATGGAGTGTAGACCACCTAACTCCAAACAATAAAAATATAATTAATACAATCTAAATTAAAATACCGCTTAAAATACTTGCATTTAGTTTTATGAATTTTATGATAGGCCTTAAACTTCATCACTATTTGACTCATCTTTTAACATTTACTACTGTACTTAATTTTTAGTATTTTAATTTTTGGAAAATAGCTTATATCTTTTATTTTATTACCTTACCTTGTGATTTTATCTTTTAGATTAAGATTTTTATTTATAATAATTTGAAATTAAGTCTATTTTCAATTTTAATTATATACAACTTTTTGATTTCTATATTTATAATTTTGTATCACAAAACAGGACCATTGTAACAGGCTATTACACCTTCCAGATATGTTATCCTGTATAAATATGTTCAATAAATAAATAAATATGCTCTCGAATATTTTACATGTACTGAAATACAAAATATAAAATAACGACAATTGCCGAATATCTTTATTTATACGATTTTCATTTATATAAGACATCTTTCTTAAATATCCTAGAGAATTCAAGGAGAAACTCTAATTCCTCGAGAAAATATGGAACAATATGCCAAACTGACGCCAAATGCCTTATCAGTGTGTGTTGAATCATAGGGAAAATAGCACAAAGATGAGTATTTGACTTCTTCTTTATGAATGGAATGACCTGAAAGAAACACAAAATCCTGATCAATTGTAATATTCTTATTATCTTACGATTATTGCATGTTAGAAATGTTTTGTCAATTCCCAAATCATTGTACAGTTTACGCTTTTTATGTATCATTAATAAATATTTAAAAAAACAATGTTTGGGAAATTGTTTTAAACATTTCGCTGTTTAATGATGATGCGGCCTGTTAAAAAATGCAAGTGGTTTTGAAAATCACTTAATACATTGAGTTTATCAATTTCAAAACTCGAAAAGTTCATTTAATTTGCGATTTGCCTTTATTTTCTTCGATATTGTCATATTTTGGATGCATTCCAACGCGTCTTTTGGCTTTATGCCCCATGTCTCGTCGTAAAACAGTTATCCTCTAAGTTGTATTTACCTATAATAGCTAGTTAGGTAAGTAAAATTTATTTGACTTTATTACGTTATTGAATAATAATAGAAATAAATATGAAGATGTATCATGTTCATTTTATCTGAAAGGAACATAGCCGACCATTTGTTAGACTTATTAATAGGTCCATGGTTAGACAGAACCCTTCTGTAAAGTTAGGCCAACAGGGGCGGACTGCTATGCGGGTCAATCGTCGTGGACAGATGCGCCTTTGTAGTTTAAAGCCCTTTTGAAAAAAAAGTCGTCTGTAAAAAGTAACAATAAACTGAGCATATAGCGGTATAAAAGTAGTGCAGAAAGTATTTATACAACAAACACACTTGAAAAACTTGAAATTTTCACATTTTGCATGTGGTCCTTAAAGATAAATTAAGAATTCACTTCGGTCCTCCGCCTCATCATTGAGTCTATACAGTGGGGTGCTTTGTAATTACAACTATTTTGATCAATGATTAACGTTTTCAGCTCGAACATTATACATGTAACTGCAGTGGATCCCTTTGCGTTTTTATTAAATCTGAACTTCATTGTTTATTTTGTGATGATGACGTTGTTATTTTATTTATCAATTTTTACGACTCTGCACCTTGGACGGATAAGCAATACAACCTTCTTTGCTCCACTCACAGAGACACTTTTCTATATAAATATATGCCTATATATAAATCAACAGGAGAATCAATCAGATAATATTATACCTAATTAAATTTACAGCATAATACTGATGCTCTTGTTGATTCATTTTATTGTTGCCGATAGGTCATTTTCATATTACTTCAAGATTGCTTTATTAACTTACTTGAGTGGTTGATAAAGGAAACCGATGTTACAAATTGTCTATCCTTACTGAAATACGAAATAATTGGTATAAGGTAAAACAATTATTTTCTAAATATTTTACCTATACTGGGGCGGATGCAGGATTTGGCGGTAGGGGGTGCGTGAGAGGTCCACAGTTCCACTATGGCTGGGGCTGAGGTGTGAACATTTTGAGAGTATGTACCTCTAGGTGCCCGGAATTTGCACTCTCATACCTTAAACGTTTTACCGGTAATTCATATCAACGATAATAATACAACAGTTATTTTTCTTAATACAATTTAGGGGGTGGGAGAGAACGCACCGTCCGCACCCTACATCCGCACAGGTATGATAGCCAGTTAAATCCGTAAAATTTATTTGCCTTGATTTTTTTTAAATAATAGAAATAGATCTTATATGAATGGAACGCATTCGACCATTTTTGAGACAGGTCCTTTTCGTAAAGTAAGGCCATGGGATTATTACTGGTCCGATTCGCAAATTGAATATGTAGGCTTATTTATTTACCACAATCGACGGTAACTTAAAATTATATTCATCTTCTCAGTACCACAACTGTATTCCCAAACAATCGAGAGACAATTAAATTGTTAATAGCTCATATACAAATGATAAAATAACTTTCAATTGTTGCTGATTAGACCATGTTCGTATGCACTGTTACGTGCATCTGATCGGAAGATCTCCATTAGACGGTCTGCGTATATGTATCACTATTCTATCACTGAAATGTACGCCGACTACGCTATTCTTCATATCTCGGATTCCAATATTAATATCAATAAATACTGAATTGTCACAAGACCGTAACGCAATAACTCAATGGCTCCATTCAAATAAACTAATTATTAACACTGGTAAATATGTGACTATGCTCATAGGTACTTCTCAACGTACCCGCGATAAACACATCAGTGTTTCTATTGATAACACCTTCCTACAGGTCAATATCCACAAACACCACGGGATCACTGTTGACAACAACCTAACATGGAAATCACATTCACGTAATTTATCCTGTTCCATTGCTTACAAAACTTTGGCACTTTCTCGAGCAACTAAATTTATTGATAAAAGCACTGCACTTCTAATTTATACCATAATACTTTAATTTTACCTCATATTGATAATTATTGCATTTCTGTTTGGGGTTCATGCACTAAAGATACTATTGCTAAAATACAGAAACTTCAAAATCGTGCAATCCGAGTCATACATAATGTACCGCTTCGAACACTATCCGCTTCATTATTTGAACCAATAAATGTTATACATGTTACCCAACCCCTTTGGAAAATACCACACAGTGAACACAGTGTGAAAAACTCTGTGTTCACATAGTGTACACATACTGCACCACAGTGTGTGCATTGTGTGTTCACAGTGTGTGAACTGTGTGTATACAATGTGTACACAATGTGAATACCTCAATGACCATATGAAATTGGTGAGGTTTTCACACTGTGAACTGTGTGGAACACAGTGTGTACACACAGTGATCACACAATAAACACAGAGTAATCATAGTGACACCACACACAAACACACTGTTTCTATAGTATATCCACATAATAAACACATTGCTCCCACACAGTAAACACACTGTTCCCATAGTGTGGCCACACAATAAACATACTGTCCCCACACAGTAAACACAGTGTCACCCCACAATAAACACATTGTTCCCACACAGTAAACACAGTGTTTCCATAGTGTCACCAATCATAAATATAGTGTCACCACACATTAAACACACTCTTTCCACACAGTAAACACACTGTCCCCATAGTGTAGCCGTACAATAAGCACATTGTCTCCACACAGTAAACACAGTGTTTCCATAGTGTTACCACACAATATACACAGTGTGTCAACAGTGTGTTCACTCTGTTGACTATATGAAATTGGTGAGGTTTTCACAGTGTGAAACACCGTAAACACATTGTCCCCACACAGTAAACACAGTATTTACATAGTATTACCACACAATATACACAGTGTGTCAACAGCTTGTTCACTCTGTTGACTATGTGAAATTGGTGAGGTTTTCACAATGTGAAATACAGTTAACACACTGTCCCCATAGTGCATCCACACATTAAATACACTATCCCCATGGAGTAAACATAGTGTTACCACACAATAAACACAGCGTTTTTACAGTGTGAAACACTGTAAAAACGCCTTGCTCACACCTTGTTAACATACAGCAAACATGGTGTTAACACACAGTTGACTATGTGTTATTCGTGAAGTTTACACACAACTGTTTGTTCTACAGAGATTCAGCGTCACCACACAGTAAAAACATCAAACAACATGCACAATCTCAAAGTGCCCACCTTCATCCTGCAAGGTACAAGAAAAATAAGATATTAAGTCTTAAAATTGATAAAATAAATATTTATTATATTAACTTTTACTTACACATATGTGCCGTACCATAAGATTATTGCATATGTTAGAAGAATAATGGATGTATAAAAACATTTTTAAAGCACAAAAATACATTAGTCAAAGGTATAGCTGTTTCACATGAATATTATTGCTTTGCTCGAAACTTTGGTCAATGTACTACACAAACGAAATATTAAAATTGATAAAATAAACATTTACTTAAATTTACTTACAGATATATCATGATCAGGTATTGCATTTAGTGTGAGGTATTATTACTGTTTTTGGATTTTGCATTAAGTGCCCACTAAAAAATATTTATACTGTATTTATAAGATTATATATAGAGTATATATTAAGTAAAGGTAGCAATAAGTTTAAAATAAGTTTATTGTACAGTATTTAGGATAACAGTATCAATATTTTCACAAGTGTACAAACAGTTCGCTAGGGGGTAGACACATTTGTCCTTTTTTTGCATAAAATTGTTAATTGAAAATAGCATGAAATATGTAAAATAATAGATTTTTCATAACCAGACACAATGTAACCATGGATATAATAGACATTTTTAAGCAACCAATACAGTATTTTAATTGACTTCACAAAAAAATTGAAAATGCTTTTGCAAAATCAATAATTTTTATGTACATTTTCAGATGGGAGTGGGTACCGAAAAAGAGTAATGTTTGTACACTTGTACTTGAAAATGTTGATAATTGTGAACGGCCTGTTAGTTGCCTTAAATTGAGAACATTTAATAATGGTAAAGCATGTTTTCATTTTGTCATAGACAAGTTATTTTGTTGTAGAATATGAAATTAACATTTAAATGAAAGAAAAAAATATAGATATTTAAAATAATAACACATATCTAGGTTAACATTAACTAATATTATTAATAAAATATACAATTTACTACAAAATACTATACTATATTTACTATAAAATTACTACACATTAAGTGCCTGCTAAACATGTTGTTTCCATTTCCGTTCATTTTGACATGGAGCGTCTTGTGTCTTTACATTTCTGAGCCATCTTAGCTTTTACAGCTACTGGCTGAATGCCTGGATGTTCAACGCAGACAAACTCTGAAATTATATTTAAAAGCCAAAACAGCGTCACAAAACTTTGGAAAATGCAAGGTATCTTGACAAAATGAGACTTGCACTTGGTTTTTAAAATTAAATATCAGAGTAGAACACATAAGATTAAATTGTGAATTTTAATTAATAAATCTGTTGTTTAACGTTACAAATGTTACCATGACGACACATTAATTTTAGCAGTGATGTGTAATGGCAAATATCAGGCAATAATGCTGCAATAACAGTGGCCTGCTAGACTCATCATTTTTATGGCGTCTAATGTGGTAGGATTCATTGTTACTGACATTGTTTTGATGTTTAATGAGTTGATATGAAACATTAATTTACCGACTGCAATTGAATCGTGGAGCAACGAGGTATGAATAAAGGCTGTAATGGCCACAGGTCAATTGCCAAAGTTTGTTTACAATTGATTAGCATATTACTTGTATATTTACTAATTGATTATTAGATCATTCATAAAATCAACGGTCAATGTAATACACTTGCAGCGTATGTTTTTCTGTCATGTGGTACATTTTGGTACATTTTTTTCTGTCATCTTAAATGAAAACAAATGGATTATTGCAATCTCAACACAATAAATAGAAAATTAACTTACCAACTATTGCAGATATTTTATTTTGGTCTAAAACGGGCCTATCCTTTTGTTCTTGTTTCAATCGCTGCCCTGGTTGCTAGTTTTGTGTTAGTGAACATGCTGGTCATTGCAGCACACACCAGCCTGTTCGTATTTGGGCTTCTTTTTGAGTTGCACAATAGTCACTTGAGACAAAAATTGGTCTAGTGCAACCTGAAAATAAAGTTCTTAAATTAGTAAACAATGCACTCTACATGTAGTAGAGCGGCTAAGGTTGAATTTCAGGCAGAATCGTGCACTTCTGGAAGAAAGCATGAAACTTCCCACAATGATACTATAACACCTAAAGATCATAAAAAAATAATAGACCCCAAAAAATAACGCCTCCTAATGGCCACCATCTTGAAATCCAATATGGCCGCCAAAATATTTTATTTTAGCCAATATATTCATATCTACAGCACATGTCATTGCCAATTGAAGATCATTACCCATGTTTTCAATATCAGGGAGTGTCATGTAATCATCAGAAATTATGTCAGATGGCGCCGCCATATTGGATTTCAAGATGGCCGCCAAATTAATGATATTTTTGTCAATATTCACATCTACAGTACCTAGCACTATCAATCAAAGACCGTTGCCCATGTTTTCTATATCAGGGACTACCATGCAGCCATCAGAAATTATGTCAGAAGACCACCATATTAAATTTCAAAATGGTCGCCATCTTGAAATTTAACATGGCCGCCAAAATAATTAATTTTAGCCTATGTATTCATATTTACAGCACGTATCACTCCAACTGAAGATCATTACCCATGTTTTCAATATCAGGGAGTGTGATGCAATCACCAGAAATTATGTCAGATGGCGCCATATTGGATTTCAAGATGGCCGCCAAATTATTGCTATTTTTGTCAATATCATATCTACAGCACCTAGCTGTTAATCAAGGACCGTTACCCATGTTTTCGATATCAAGGACTATCATGCACCATGTTGTAACCGTTGCCTGGTAGATAACACATTCTTTGAGGCAGTGGCCAGACATTGGGTATTCATATGGGGAAAATATTTTATAATTTGCAAACCAGAAATAGCTACACTAAATAAACGTAATGAACTCGTTTCAGCATGCAGGCATGCTAACAAATTTCTTCTAAGAAATTTTGTAACTTAATTTATTTTAACCCCCTCCTAGCATGTAAACCTCTTTCCCATGTTATGTTGCTACTTAACTTATGTTTATCACTTTAATCCCTTTCATTGTTTATTAATCCTTAATCTGACCGAACTAATTGAACCCTTTGTATTACCGCTCTGGCTTTCTGCGCATGCTCAGCTTATCTCAATCAATTGTATTTCTATGTTTTTTAGTCATTAGGCAATTTTATCTGAAGAGTGTCACACCATGTGTGTGGTACGAAACTAAGTAGTAATAAAATGTTTAATCAAAGCTACTGTTGAACCTCGCTTTTTATTTATATATATATATATATATATATAATTTTTGTGTGTAGCACTCTGTCTATATAATTAAATAATGGTGAAAACAGAGCTCGAATAAATGAAAAGTGATGTGAGTATCGTATCGAGAATAGCCTATCAAATAAAAAAAAGTTCCTTCTGTTTGAAAATGTGCCCCTGGCGCCGCGGTGGGAATTCAAATGTGAATTCTTGTTGTTAAGGTGAGTGCCATACATATTTACTATTAGGGGCCCCATTGTTTATCGCAGATACAACCCAACCAGGACACTCTATAGCCTAAGAATACTCTAGAAGTCATACCTGTATTATAATGAAGTAACATATAGAATCAGTGTTGCTGCGTAGCATTGTGGTATTACTAATTAAATAATGACAGAAACAGTGCTAAATAAACAATGATGTAAATACCATAACAGGCATAACATATCAGAGAAAACGTTCTTTATCAACTGTATGAAAAAGACAAAGGTGCCCCCAGTTGGATTTATCAGGAAACGAATATTTGGTATATATTGTGTATATGTATAT